AAATAATCGGTGACTAGTCGACTATCAAAATAATCGTTTGTGGCAGCCCTACACTCAGCTGGCACAACATCACTGCAAGACAGCGTCACTGAAACTGCAAAGTCACCAAAAACTCTGAATCCACGAATACCCTCCAATGCACCTCACACTCCAATCAACAAACAGCAAAACGACTTCAACATCCACACAGACAGTCCAATCTGCACTAACAACACCAACAATTTAAAATACTACAGTCCGCACACAGCACAGGACGCACACCACGGGACCGACTGACTCAGACATCTGCACACATCACTGATGAGCACGTTTACACATCCTGGTCTGTCCAGCAATACACAACTTCTGGAAAGAAAAAAAACTACCAAAACATCCCAAACCCTCGACCACAACATCCCGCTATGCCCCTCCGTCTGTTTACATGGTGATGTGGAAGAACTAAACAAACTCCAAACAGATGAAAACTGTCCTGGCTGTGGCCCCGACTATCACCAGGAAAACAGTACTGCTCAACGGGAAAAAGACTGACACATCCCAAAGCTTAGACCTCCTCACGCAGCAGTATCAATGGACAACAATCAGCAATACATAAAAACCAATTTGAACACTTCATTCAAATCTAAAAGCTGCTGAGCTAACGCCACAGCAGAAATCATCAGCAGGAGAAGGAAACGGGACAAACTCGCTCTTATTTATCTGCTTTTCTCTTCTTATCCTGCCTCGCTGCACTTCTACACAGGACAGGTGTGTGCTCCTTCCTCTCAGCTGTGGTGACTGCATCACATCTCACCGTTTTCACGGACAGAGGTCTGACAGACACGACGTTCTTAATGGACACCGTTCCCAGCACCGTGCCAAAGTTGAGTGCCTGTACTGTCAGGTTGTAGGCCTGCACCGCTGCAAAGTTGTTATTAGTGATGTTCAACACGTTCTGCAAAAGAAAGCAAAGAGCCATCATCCCTGCACAGCCTGACTGCTCCGTTCATCACAGCCCGTCCCTCTCTGCTCACCGTGATGTTAATCTGCACGCCGTCGTGAGTGAAGTAAACAGAGGATGAACTGACAGCTACTGGAGACAGAACCACGGAGCGCGGAAACAGGAAGAACAACACCAGGACGCTGACCAGGAGGCACAGCCCGACAGACGAGGCCACATACAGCTTCCTGAGTGAGGACAAAACATGAGAAACACAAATGCATAACAACAAGCATCAGCAGCTCTCTTACGTGTGTCTGGGCCTCAGCCTCTGGTCAGTACAGGGAATGACAGCAACCAGCTTGCTTTCCTGACCTGCAACACAGTTGGAACAAAGGTTCTTAGATTAGAGAAGAAAGTGGGGCAGACGTAACGTTGCTGGGTTATCAAAGCAAACCGTGACCGCTCATGTCTGTGTCAGCCCCGTGGCACACCGCTGACCCCACTGGGGGGCTTCTCACCCTGTGACAGTGGGGAAAGGCTGCAGCCCAACTGTCAGCGTCACAAGTGACATTAATCAGACTCATCACTCATCACCCAGCTCTAAAGTAAAGGCTGCGAGGCTCCCATTGAAACACGCGGTGCGCATTACTGCTGAGAAGAGTTTCTCACGTCAGAGTTCATCAACTCAGACTTTTAATAAAGTCTAATGTTATAAGAAAGTCACAGCAGGAGTGTGTGTGTGTGTGTGTGTGTGTGTGTGTGTGTGTGTGTGTGTGTGTGTGTGTGTGTGTTCTTACTATACAGGTGGGGACCAAAATCCAGGTCCCCACAGGGTTGAAGGCATTTTTCGCACTCAACATGTGGTTTCAGTGTCAGGGTTACAGTTGGGTTGAGCTTAGGTTTAGGGTCAGGGTAAGCATTGTGTCGATGGGAGGTCCCCACGAGGATATCAAACCAGACATGCATGTGTGTGTGTTGGTTCACTACCTCTGGGTATACGCCCGGTGCCCTGACAGGTGGGACAGTGAACAGTGTCTGCTGAGCTGCATCTCCTGCTCCAGCTGGTCCTCTTAGTGCTGTCCTTCTCACTGATAGGCTGGTTGGAATCTTCCTGTCCCGCCCCGCTGGGCTGGAGACAGTCCTCGGTGACACCCTCACATTGGCTTGGAGCAGCTCCCATACCTAAAGAAACAAAAGATTACAAAAAACAAGCAAAAAAACCTACCCCCCACACACACACACACACACACACACACCACTGTGCAAAAGTTTTAGGCAGGTGTGTAAACATGCTGTAAACAAAGAATGCTTTCAGAAACATAAATGACTGTTTATTGGCCCCAAACATACACTACAGCAGGACAACGAGCCCAAACACAAAGAACAAGAACTGGAGTGATGGTCCGGCCCCCACAGAGCCCTGACCTCAACATCGAGTGTGTCTGGGATTACATGGAGAGACAGACGGATGTGAGGACGCCTACATCCACAGGAGATCTGTGCACTGATGGGATTTAGATTTCTCGTTTGTTCATGTAGTGCACAGGTGTCGAACTCCAGGCCTCGAGGGCCGCTGTCCTGCAGGTTTTTGATGTGTCCTTGATCCAACACGGCTGATTTAAATGGATAAATGACCTCCTCAACATGTCCTGAAGTTCTCCAGAGGCCTGGGAATGAACTCATCATTTGTTTCAGGTGTGTTGACCCAGGGTGAGCTCTAACACCTGCAGGACACCGGCCCTCGAGGCCTGGAGTTCCCCACCCCTGATGTAGTGGGTGCGTTGGGTGCAGCTGGCAGATTTTCCAGAACAAACCAGGAGCGATGGGAAAAACAGTCGTCATCTGTGACACTCCTGTAGTAGCTGGACTGTGCATGTGAAATTCAACAGTTTCAAATCATTTTCTGAATTATAAGGAAAAACTACTCATGCTGTGGAAGATGGGACCAGTGATCTGGATGTGCCAGGCCCGGAGGCTCGAGGCCTGAAAAAAGATGTGAGAGTGGGTCACGTGAATCAGAGTGGGTCACGTGGATGTGTGACTGCGTCCGTCATTAGTAGTTTTTCGCTCAAAGCTCAGTGAATAAAGTGTTACAGCGCGGTGTCCTCAGTGACACGGACGTGTTTAAACGTGTTCATTAAAACGTTGCTGTGACAGGTTTGAACGCGTGTCTCTAACGTCTATGAGCGCTCCGTGAAAACGTCCATTCTTAATATTTGAACACTCGGTGAATGCCTGACGTGACCGAGACGCCTCCAGCTCCGGGGCCGCTGCTACATTACAAGCAGCAGCCGCCGTTCCCAGCTTCTACCCCTCCTGCCCGCGACAGCGCCGGGCTCGGGACGTACCTGGCCGCCGTGGCTCTCTGTTATGAAGCAGCCCGTGTCTGTATGCGCATTCCTGCTGCACCTGAGCCTCGGTTGGCTAATGGTCGGTCACGCCGCTGACCCGCACGTAAACACTTCCTGTAGCAGCTGGCTGCACTCGTTATGTGGCCTGTTATCTTCCTCTTACGGTTCTTTTTATCCCAGAAGCTGGGACATCCTGTGTGAGCGGACAGGTCACTTCCTGTGTTTTCATTCGGAGCGGAGTCTGTGAGAGGAAGTGCTCTTCGTCAGTCTGACGTCAGTCACTACTGCTCACCTTTGGCTTCGTATCCATGTTTCGTCACTGGACGCTGTTAGTCAAACGTACTGATCACTGGGCCATAATAAATGTGTCAGTGCGATTCTGGCTTTGGCAGGACTGGCGTAGCTCATTTCAGCTGCTTTGCTGGTATAAATCTGGCGTTAAGCACAGTAAATACTTTCTATAGGGTCAAGCTTGGATTTTGGTTGCTCCCTTATTCAGACTGGGTCGCCGCAGGTTTGCTTTTCCTGACAAAGCTCCAGGGATGTGTGTCTCCTGTCAGCTGGGGATCTTTGATTTGTTACCTGATGTGTAAATGCTACATTATGGAGTCGTTCAACCACGCAAACAGATCCTGTTAAAACTCTGTCAGTAAACAGCACATGGTCTGATTCAGTTGTTGAGTTCTTCAGCAGTAAAGTTTTTCAATGTGGTGAAAACATGTTCTGTGGCTTCATTTTCTTCACACACACGTTTACTGGCCCACGCTTGCCCACAGTGGGTGTTGTGAAAGAAGTTGCTTAAAAGTGCAGTCCACTTACCATTTACCACTCAGGCCGGAGTGGGTGTGGCCACGCGGAGTCCGTTTTAGTGTCTAATGGACAATTAGTTTATTTGAGATGACTTGTTCTGTTTATCAGTGAAACGTGGCAGCACGAGAACAAAATCTCCCAGTTTTCAGAGCATTGTGTGCATCATGTGGCTGCATAAAAAAGATGTTTATGTCTAAAGAAGGGGATTATTCCTAAAATTGGGAAAGCTCAGCCCTGTTCTAGTATTCGAATAAAGCCTCAGCTTTGTGCATCTTTGACTGTCAGGTAGGACCATCACAGAGACTTTAACTCAATGATTCATGAACAGGTTTGTTTAACACGTATGTGGCACTACTCACACTGCAGGACATGCTCTTCTCCAGCATCTAGCCTTACCTGATGACAAAGCTGAGTACATGCTTTCAGTGAGCACTGCTGTGGTTGCTCCTGCTGCTTCTGGCTCCCCTGGTTAAATAAGCGATGTTCCTACTGAAAGGCGGCTGTAGCAGACTAAGGGTTTGGCTGTCCATAGAGAACTTTCCCACTTTTATGAGGCCGTGAAAGTCAAGATCTTATTGATCTTATGATTTAAAAAAAATCATAATCAGAATAATCCCAGAGTAGTATTTGATGCTACCAGCAGCACTATTCCTGCTCCACCTCTGATGGACGTGAGATCCAAACTCTCCTCAGTTACTCTTTTTCTCTCCTCCTCAGCCTAAACCACTGCTGTCCTCCAACCCGCCTGTCAGAGGTCACTTCCTGTTTAAAAAGGAGGTACAATGTTACAGGATACTTGCTGAAAGACGCTCAACAGTCCCACCTTTGACACTGAAACATATATAATGACATTCATCTAGCATGTTTGTTGCTTCCATTTAAAGGTGACATCGTGACCTTTTTAGTTGCACTTCTAACAAACACACGAAGCAGAAGCCTCAGGTGGGTGTAATGCATTTAATTGGAGACATATTGATTTGTACATCATACAATATTCATAAAGTGCAACACAGAAAAAAGCTCGAGCCATCCCCCGTTTTTCACATGACGACTCATTTCAGCACGATGACACACGGCACACACCTGACCTTCATTTGAAGCAGGCCACACTGAACCTGTGGCAGGACACTTTTATTCTTACCTTTCAAATTAATTACCTATCCGAGAGGGTGAAACCCGACAGCATGATTCATGAAACGCTAATATAAAAGAAATAATGAATGCCTAAAACTGATGAATGCCACTCTTAAAAATCTAAACATCCGTGTGAGATGTCCGGAGCTGTTTGAGTCAAAAACGTGGCCCAGTGTGGGGGCTGTACCTCTGCACCCGTGGCTGGTCCTTCAGGCAGCTGCAGGAAAGACAAAAGTTATAACGAACACAGAGCTCATGCTGTTCTTTAAATCGTTTCAACCACCCAGCATGTGACCTGCACGTCTGCCTCAGGCTCCACCCACACTGTTGCTTTCTGCACAGACATGTTGCAGACCGACACAGACAGGGTACCATGTGACGTGAGGTTACGTGGATGTGTAACGGCATAAAGTATAGTAGCACGCAGCGTATCGCACCACACAAGTATGAGACTAAAACTGCAGAGCAGCTTTAACTAGCACACCTAAAGACACGACGTCAAACTTACAAACAGCCTTCAAGCAGTCAAAGCAGAACCTAAACTCACAGCCCACTACTTTACTAATGAAGTCAGCTCAGGGTCCAGCTACGAGCAAAAGGAAGGAGCAGCGACCTTACTGCGCACACCTGACCAAGCCCGCCAACGTCTGGATCACCACGTGTGCCTGGGATTCACAACAAGCGTGGCAACGAGCCCCTCGTGACCCGCACACCTCTTTGGAACTTTCTCTAGTGGATGGAGGGAAATCCGTTTCCAAAGGTGTTACTATAGTTACCAAACCTTAATGCTGAAATCAAGTCGCCATCACCCGGGCCCCTCAGCTGATCCTGAGCAGACGTACCACAAACCGAACAGGCAAGCACGTCGTGTGCTCACCGTCCGCCCATCTTAAATTCTTCATCTGATGGGAGAACTGAAAGCAAACAGCTGATAATGAACTTCATCTAAAGCCACAAAACTGCGTCTCCATTCAAAACAGCAGAAGCATGTAAACATGGGTAGGAAATAAGAAGATGGGACGCGCAGAGGACAGGAAAGGAAGAACGTAGGCTGCTGCTCATGTTTAGCTACGATCTATGCAGAGGAACTGGTGCGTTTCCACAGCAGCTCGGGGTAAACTGTGGTTCTCCGCGAGGTTGCAGCTCTGAGTGCTGAACAAACCTGGTTGATTAGCTAGTTAACCATCATGCAGTGGGACAGTGTAGTCTGTTCACCACCACTGACTCACAACAGCAGTAAATCACACACCAGCTAACAGTCCGGCTCAGTTTCAGCTACACCGAGTGGTTTCCAATGACTTCTCTAAAACAGGTTATGCACACATGTTGTATTTAGTGTATATGAGAAAATCCCTTTAGTTTCAGTGATGGACTAAAGTTACAGGACAAAGGCAACGTGCAACCAAAACGGCACGCTGCAAAAAGCTCATCACACACGTCGTTACCAGCATGAAGAGCGTCACTCAGATGATCTGGGCTGAGCACGTGTGCGAGTTCTGGGAAACCGACTCAAAAACAGGAGGAATGTGTGTTTTGAATAGCACGGCTATTTAAACATCAAAGTACTTCATTGCATTCATCATCACAAGTCACATCAACACGAATGTGTCGGAGCAGTCCTGCTCCTCCAGCTGGAGCTCTGGAAACACCAAAGGGTCAGATTTTATACAGTAAAGCCTCACACACACTACGTCGCCTGACCAGTTCTGCTTACCTACAGTCAGTGTGATTATTTACAACCCGATAATAAAGTTATTAGTAGCTGTTGGAACGGCAGCTCAAATAAAACAGAAAGAAGCAAACCTGCAGCTGACACTGTGCAGACCAGCTGTGTGGGCCTGCTCTGGGACACAGGCCGATGATATCTAACCAAAGGAAATTTGCAAACAATGCTAGCTTCGTGAACAGCATCAGCTCACTACCAGTCGAGCTGGTTGTTACAGTTTTCACCACAATACGCAGAAACATGCACCACCAGCTGGTGTGATGGAGCCGACTGGACGAGGCGAACAAGACTGAGGAGATGAGATGACTTGATGCCTCAGCAGGACCATCAGCACGAAGCTGCATTTTCTTTTTGCCCAAAGATGTTCTGAGCGAGCGGGTTCGGTAGGCGACCTGTGAGAGTCTGCTGCTGTGGACTTGAGCAAAGGAAACGCGTGAGGGTGCCGTCGGTAGCTTTTTGGGATCCCTGCAACCAACAGGAGCAGGTACAGCAACCGTGGAGTTTCTGCAGCAACACAACTTTAGCTCAGGTTTGATGGAAGCGAATGCTTTCACGCTTCACACTTCGTTAAAATCCATGATGTTAGCACGTGGTGTGATTCACATTTGAAGACCTAGAATTCCTGTTTTCACCTTTCTTAGACAGATATGCAAAGAAAACCTGCAACTACCAAGATCTACGCTGAAAGTACTAAAACTACAGACAGTGGGTGGGTGATGGTCCGCTGGAGGATCCAGGGCTGCTGGAATGTCCCCTTACAAGCTCGTAGTATAGTCCTCGGTCCAAAAGGGCAAATTAGTGGAGAGCTGAAAAGAAGGAGGAAGAGTTTGGCCTCCTCGTCATCAGTAGCGTGTAGAGTACCAGTCATTGTCGGTCATCTGAACGAGCTCGTTGACCACGTCCAGCAGGCTGTAGTTGTGTTTCTTTAGCAGACGCTGGTTCAGAGAGCGGTCTGCAAAACCCATCTCCACCAGCACGGCCATCATGGTGTCCTGGGTGGATGCATCCACTGGAGGCTGGGTGGAAACAAGATCGGATCAGTCGAGCGAGCCAGCTACTGATTACCGCACAGGCCTGAATGAGTCTGTATCTGAAGTGTTTGAAGGTCTGACTGCTGACAACATGCTGTGTACAATGTAAATAAAAGCAGAGTGCAACATGTCACGACTGCGTGGCGTCCCCTCGTCAGGAACTGATCGAGCATCGGGAGCACCGTCTGATCAGGGAGCACCTTCGGCAGCTGGCTCCTGCTCTCCTGGATTAGGGATGCAGCCCCAGCTTAAAAGCCTTTCCAAGGTAGTGCAATTAGCTTTGCATTGGACTGATTAATGTAAGTGTAGCCCCACAACTGTGTCGCCTACGTGTTGCATCGCTATCATGCAGAGAAAAGAGTTCAAACCTGGGCTGTGACGTTTGCTTCAACACTGGAAAATAGGCTTGAAACTCCAAAACACACAAATGTGAATATGGGAGAAAAAAGCTGCTAAATGTGTCACCTGTGTGGGGCCTTGTCCGGTGAACAGGGCTTTGTAGGCAGAGGCAGCTACTGACAGAGCTCCTTTCACCAGGCCGCCGGTGAGGCCTTGCTGCCTGAGGAGGGCAAACATTTGGAGAGTTAATCCTTTTGTTCTCTCTTATCAGTGTTTACGATTCATGGATGTGAATTTATTTATGAGCTGTCTGCAAGGGGAAAAGTTATAGCAGCAAACAGAAACCAGAAAGCATCCTTGGACTTCATGCTCCCTCCAAACTGCTCGTGCTCATCATTCTACTCGGGAGGCCAAAACATTATTCTGCTTCTGTCTTAGTTGGCAGCTGGGATTTAGAAGCACAACGATGGGCCAGGCTCTCAGCACAGAGCCACGGTGAGACGACTCCTGTACGTATGTGCGTCTGAGCTGACCTTAACCTGACCTCAGGCTGACCTGTGAGGACTCTGCCTGCACAGTCATATTTCGAACAGCGCTGCAGTTCAATCAGCTTCATTTGAACCTTTGTACATTACTAACTTCCCTTTCTGAGCCTCAAAGGCAGCGAATCGTCCTGTGAGCCTGGGAAACTCGGACAAACAGCAGCAGGCAGCTGGACTGGCAGCTTGTTACAGTCTCACTACTTTAACATGAAGACATTATTTAGCTTTTATGTTAGCGAGCAGATAATCTGCCTCCCGTCTCCTGGAAGCCTGCGTTTGTCCGTTTCTATTAGAAGCTACATTCAAAGTGATCGGATGATGGCGCGACTCTGATGTCTGAGATTTGTAGTATCAGTGGTGTGCACGCTCCACACTGAAGAGCAGATACAGGAAGTTGAAAAACAAACTGAAAGAAGCTGCATCATGTAGGTTCTGCACGATAAACCAAACCTAGCCAACGGATGGATGGACGAATAAAAACGTGATAGCTTCAGTGTGTGTGCGCGTGCACATGTGTGTGTGCACATGTGTGTGTGCGTGTGTGTGTGCACATGTGTGTGTGCGTGTGTGTGTGCACATGTGTGTGCGTGCGCGTGCATGTGCATGTGTGTCTGCGCGCGCGTGTGTGCGTGCGTGCGCATATGTGTGCGTGTGTGCATGTGCGTGCGCATGTGTGTGCGTGTGTGCATGTGCGTGCGTGTGTGCGTGCGTGTGCGCGTGCATGTGCATGTGTGTGTGTGTGCGTGCGTGCGCGCGTGCATATGTGTGTGCGTGCGTGCGTGCGTGTGAGAGTGTGTGTGTGTGTGTGTGTGTGAGAGAGAGAGAGACCTGGGGTCCTCGGGGTCGTTCTTCTCCGTGTCAGTAGCTTCAGGATCAGTCTGAGCGCGCTCAGGAGCTGCTTCTGCAAGACAGAACGATGCGATCACCGTGGACTGCATCAGAGTGGTACTGTGACTGAAGTGACAGCGAGACCCAGTAAGGAGCCTACCGTCCTCAGTCTGGTGCAGTTCTGAACCCTGCGCTCCTTCCTCAGCGCCGGCATCCTCCTCCTCTCTCTCTGCGCTGCTCTCTGGGCTGTCAAACACAAACATGTTTGCTTCGCTCATTTACTGTCGCACAACAACAACGCCTGTGCCACTTCATGAGCTTCATGACTCGGCTCGCTGTATTTGAATCTTGTTTAAATGAAGGAAAAATGTTTTTATATGATACGGCACACCATCTAACATATTTTGGTAGCTATTTTGTGACTGACAGGTGATCATTTGTATACAAGCAGGAAAGAAAACATTAGTAATCTCCTTTGCCTGATGAAGGTCTAGCCCTGAAACGCTGTAGATGAATGGTGCAGATGTGGTGCAGATGTGGTGCAGATGTGGTGCAGATGTGGTGCAGATGTGGTGCAGATGTGGTGCAGATGTGGTGCAGATGTGGTGCAGCAGTGGAGCGGTCGGTCTGAGGAAAAGACCAGCTTTCCTGAGGAAACGTTCTCATGCTTACTGTGATGTGACGACAGCTTGAGGCGGGGTGACTACTTCAGGAGTCAGCGGCTCATCGTCCAGCGTCTGGGATGTACACAGCATATCGTTGGCACTGCTGGCTCCTGACAGCTCCATTCCTGGAGCCGCTTCATCCACCTCGTCCGCCTCCCCCTCTCCTGCGGCACTGTCCCGACGCTCAGCTGAGGGGGTATCTGGGTCTGTGTCGGTCTTGGCTTGGACGTCTCCGGGCTGGGACAGAGCAGAGCTGCAGCGGGACCAAGAACAAAGAAAAAGTGAAAGCACTGATTACTGTCCCACAGGCGAGGGTTCCCCCACACACTCCAAAGCCACGGCTCCTACCTGTACATGGACTCTCCCAGGGGCCGAGTGGTGTCAAAGCAATCAGGGAGGATGATGATGTAATCCTCGGAGGACGTGGAGGAGGAGCGACTCCTCATTACATCCCTCTTCTCCTCCTCTTCTTGCTTCTCCCTCACTCTGGGCTCCACACAGATGCTCTCCATGTGCGACTCCTCAGCTTCACCTGTGATGAGACCCAGGAAGCAAACGCTGGGTGTGACTGGCTGCTGTACACATGCTGGGACACATGCTTCACTCCCACTCATGACACAGAGGTTCAAGCTTCGCTTCGACTTCTGTCGTGCCCAAAAATGGCGGCAGAAGCTAGAAACATAAAAGAGGACCTGAGGGTGTGTAGTGTGTGGACCTGATGTGCACCTTTCTAAAAATCAAGCTACGCAAGGTTTTAACACAGCTGGAGCCTAGCTTAGACTTGAAGCAGGAGCAAAACCATCGCATTTCTAGAAATCTGAACAAATTTATTAAACCTAGAGCTGGGCGATATGAGATTTTTTCATATCACGATATGTTTTTTTCATTTCAGGCGATAACGATATCTATCACGATATAAGCCAAATAACTATATTTGTAAGATTTAAATGTGCCGTTGCTCACAAGTAAAATGTGAAATAATCAGCAGCTTGTTTTTATTTAAATATTTATTTCCCATAATAAGTTCAACAGGGTAGATGTACTTAAGGAACATGAGACTTTTTCAGATAAATAAAGGCAAATATTGCAAACTACACAAAAGGCAGCCGCTAAAGCGTTTAAGTTTCAAAATAGAACAAACGAAACAGACTAAATTGTCAATTCCACTTAGAAACAAAATATTAATTCTAAAAATAAATCTTAGTTTGTTTTACAGAAGAACAGACAAAACTGACTAACTTTTGTCAATATCAAATAAACTGAGAACTAAAAGGAAATTCTCAATCTCTCCTTGTTGTATAGCTGAGCTTTTCAAACAGTTTTAACAGTTACTTTAGTCTGACAAAAGCCGAATGACGAATTAGCGCTTCCAGTCAGAGACTGAGGCTACGTCCACACGTACACGGGTATTTTTGAAAACGGAGATTTTCCGTTTTCGTTTTAAAAAATAATCCCGTCCACACATAAAGGCAGAAATGAAGGAAAACGCTGCTATGAACATGCCAAAGCAGCAGGTGGCGCTAGATTCCTAACCGTGCAGAAATGTTGGCCAATCAGAAGTCTAGAAGCCTCGGTGGGAAAAAGTAAACAAAGCTGGGGCATAGAAGCAGAACCGAGTCGTATGTGTGGAGGGACAGTAACTGTGTGTATATGTAAGCATTTAAACACTGCAGAGAGTAGAATTAACAGTAACAGTATTGTAGAAATTCATTTCACCGAAACAATAACGTGGCGCACAGTGTGACGCATGCACCAGTTTATTGTATTTCCAGACTTGCTTTCGGCACATTTACAGTGCACGCTACTCTGTTTTTTGTCAGACTTGAAATAGCCGAAATACCTTCACACTACGGAACTTCTATGGCTCTTCCGTTCGACAATCTCTCCGGCGTTGGAACCATCATCTGTTTTCTCTTCGGTCACGCTCGGTTGATTTTTCTAGTCGGCACACTCATTTCCTCCATTACCCGCTGGCTGCTTCCCAAACAAACACACGTGCGGCTTGGCACTTGTGCTGTACGTAACAAGTCACGCGACGTGACGCTGCGGCTGTGATTGGTTCGGCTCTGCGCTACTTAATTTGGATTGGCTGACCTTTTTTTTTTTTTTAAGAGGACAAGAGCGGCGAGGTCTATCGCGATAGCTTAATTTCTCTATCGAGTAAAAGTTATATCGCGATACATATCGTTATCGTTCTATCGCCCAGCTCTAGTCATTAAACCCATGAAAAAAAACGGGCTCTCCAGAGACTGAGGTCAGCTCCCAACAGACGAAAACACTTAAACATAAAAACATCAACAAAGAAGAACAATGACAGTATCCACAACAGGCAACCGAGAGGAAAGCAGAGAAATGTGGATTATTAAAGGTCTCTCTTCCAAGTCCAGTTCAATTCAGTTTTATTTACACAGCACCAGATCACAACACAGTCGCCTCAAGGTGCTTAATATAGTAAGGTCGACCCTACAACAATACATACAACAATCATATGACCCCCTATGAGCAGCACTTTGGCGACAGTGGGAAGGAAAAACTCCCTTTTAACAGGAAGAAACCTCCAGCAGAACCAGGCTCAGGGAGGGGCGGGGCCATCTGCTGTGATTGGTTCTTGATTCATTTAAAGGAACATAATCATTTCTGTTAGTACACGACTTAATAAATTGATCAACAAATCGAGTCTTTCTATTTGTGGCAGCAATTTTCCAGCTTATCAATCAACCAAAGACCAGACAGACTGTTCATTCATTTGAAAGCCTGGTGCTTAGCCTCGTCCCCCCCAGCTGTAACACCAGTGATCACCTATCGTCCACCTGGGCCTTACACACAGTTTGTCTGATTTCTCGACCGACCCCTCCCCTCTTGTTTCCTTAGCGTAAGGAGGCGTGAACTCGTATGTCAGGTGCATGACAGCGCCGTGAGGAGTAGCAAGCCACAGAAAGTTGGGATTTGGAAAAACAGATGGAATGGATTCAAAGGCAAACGCAGAGGCTGCAGCGTGGGAGCACTTTGGGTTTAAACTGAATGACCGTGGTGAAACCTGTGTGAGCCGGTTTGTCGCCTTTGTTGTCAAATAGTAGCAACTAAACTGCTTCCTGTTAAACCCAGAATTTAAAATGCTGCTCCTCACACACGAGCTCTTCAATAATCGGCCCCAGTCGTACAAAGTGTTGCAATTAGCTGACATTTAAAGAATAAACAGCTGTTCCTCGACAGAGTCCTCCTGTTTGTGGTGAAGGAGCTCCACACAGACCCTCAACTGTGCTGTCACAGCACATGTCAGCTGGCTGCCCGTTAGCACCGCTGCCTGGAGTTTCAGTGGCGTCCCTCCTGCTGATGCTAGCTGAAAGAGTTTCCAGAGGTCCTCCCAAACACTGAGCTGACCATAAGCTGCAACCCAGAGCTTCAAGCCTGCTCCTGTACAAACCAAGGCCGCCATCACACCTCACTGTCCTTGAATCCAGCCCAGTCATACGGTGACATCTTCACTCAAATTAGACGCCGCCTCCACTTTATATACAGTCTGCAAATGGTCAACGCTCACCCCCCAAACTGGTGCAAACAGCTGTTTCTCACAGAGAAGCTGCTTGAGTCAACATATCAACTTAAAAATGTCACCTGTGGCGGTGTGTTCTGGCAGCGTGGCGGTCCCGGCCGAAGCGTGGAGCGGCCCCGGTGCTGAGCTCGGGCCAGGCAGCACGTTCAGGGTCACAGACGTTGGAGTGGGCAGGGAGGCTTTCAGTGGGGAAGGGATGGACGCCTTGAGACCAACGAGGGGTTTCATGGGAGTCTTGGAGTTGCTAGAGCAGCTGTCGGGACTCTCCTCCATTTTCACCGTTTTACTCAGACAGGACAGCGAGGAGGAGGAGCCCTGAGCAGCTGGACGTACCACTGAAAGGAAACACGAGGACCACAGTGAAACACCAGCAGATCACGCTGCAGTCTGACGTTCCAGCCAGAACAGACTGTATGTGAACATGGACGCGTTCCAGCCAAACACAAATGATCATTCATTTAAACGCACGAGCTGGCGCCGAGGGCGTGTCACTGACCTTTTCCTGTTCCTGGGCAGGATCCTCTCAGAGGTATGTGATCAGGGGCCTCCTCCAGGGTCATCGAGCGAATCACAGTCTCACAAACAAACTGAGTACCGCTGATGTCATCCTCCCCTTCCTCCTGAGCCGGGACTCCGCCCCCTTCAGCTCCAGGTCCTACCCCGTGGGGGACATCTGAGGACCAGCAGCGAGACAACAAATGTCAAGACACGCCCATTTCATTTTTGAACACAGCTGTATCAGCAGGACAGCTGCTCACACTCAGAGAGCTAACTGCATGGCTGTGAACAGCTGGACAGTCTTAGAAGAAAACCTTCACCCGATTGCATGCTGGGAAGCCAAACAGGGGTTTTCAAGGGACCTGAATCAAGTCAGTCAGGTGCGGCTTCTTTAACGAGTACTTGTAGTTTCAACAGAACCTTTAAATAAACTGGGAGAACACTGAGGAGGATTGGGACTTCATTACCCATGATGCTATTGATGACTTCAGTCTCTTCCTGAATCAGACCCAAGGAGGGGCTGCCCTTGTCCAGCAGAGGGCCATCTTGAGACAGAGGGGACATGCAGGGTGTGATGTCTGGAGGAGAAACACAGACAGCACTGAGCTCTTACAGCACGTGGACGTTTACAGCCGGCTGACCGAACGAAGACCGAATGGCAGTTTTTCCAAAAGTGTAACATTTGCGGTGGTTTTGAAGCTGACGTGGGGAACACTTCAGAGAGCCTGGTCACCTGCTCTGTGTCAGAGCACTGCGTCTGGAAGCTGAGAGCAGCGGTGCGTCTAACCAAACTCAGTCTGCAGCTTCCCCACTCGATCAGGGTCACAGCACCTGATGTAATCAAACTACGAGGTCAAAGAAACATGAACGTCTATGAATCACAGACGGCCTCCGTCAGTGTGTCGGGCCGATGCTGCCACTGCTCAGAGGACGTTGTGCTCGCCGTGTCTGAAAGAAATCTGCTGTCTTTGCATGTTAGAGTTTGAACGTCGGTATTTGTGGTGCAACAGATTGTATTTGACTATTTTATTGTTCACATAACTGACGTGCTTGTAGTGCAGACACGTGTCTCTTAACCAGGACGAGTGTTCTGGCTGTTCTCTTCTTACCAGCAGGCGTGTTGGTGGGGGCGCTCTCCAACTCTTGGACGATGTTGATATCCAACAGCTCAAAAGACAGAAGATCCTGACAAATGAACAACAGGTAACAGATTACAAGGCTAGTCTACAGGTCACCTGACCTGTCTCCAAACCAGTACAATCCAAGGCAGAGCCCCAGTTCATAAATGAAGATGATGATGTTTCAAATCATTTGTAACACGTTTCTTGTTAACAGAGGACTCAACTGGTTCTGTTACAGTGATATTGCTACATAAGTGCAGGGTTGTTGAGTGCCTGAGTCACTTTGCTGTTAAAGTGCCATCCTGTAGTAAGTACGAGTCATAGGCCACACCCCTTTCCTTTATATTTTACTGGGAAATGAGACTTTGCATAACTTCAGTGAATTTGAAGGTGAATGATGGCTCTAATGGATGGATTTTCAGTCCAGTTCCTGTGTAATCTGCAAACCTCAGCCTCTCCCTGTCTAAGCAAAGCTGTAACACACAAAGCTGGAGTGGACGTGAGTGTTTGTGTTTCGCAAACCAATCCAGCTGTCAGCCAATCAGCATTTGGCCCACAGTGAAGCCACGTTACGCTGAGTTGGAGGAACAGATTGAAAAGCCCCTCCCACAGGCTTGCATAGGCAATTACAAAAGCAAACGGGGGTTGGTGTGACTCAGGTGGTAGAGCAGGTCGCCTACTAATTAGAAGGTTGGTGGTTCGATCCCTGCCTGCACGGACCAACTACACTAACCCCACGCTGTCACTCAGACGTAGGTGTATCTACTAAAAAGCTCTACGTCACCTCATTCTTCATTTATCGCATCCACAAACTTGGAGGATCGTGTCGCTCGTTTATTCTGATGACAATAAATTTGACTAAAAGTCTGTCTCCATGGAAACACGTGGACTCTGAATGTGAATTTAGACGGAAGCAGATTTACAGTTGTTGCTCGTTTGTCACAGTTCATTTCAGCCTGTATCATAAACAGATTACCGTAATTGTCGGGCTGTAAGCCGCTACTTTTTGCACAAGCTTTGAACCCTGCGGCTTTTAGTCAGGTGCAGCTTTTCTATGGATTGTCCATGATTTTTGTCATATCATAAGACGATTTGTTTTGTTTGTTCCGCTGTTGTACGGCACTACGTTGCCTACGAGGATTTGTTTGGTTTTGAAAGTGACAACGAAGGAAAGAAGCGGAGAGTGAATGACGAAGCCATCCTGAGCCTGTTTGTATCCGACACTGGAGAAGAGGACTTTGGTGGTTTTAGTGCGCAGGAAGAAGAGAAAGATGGTGGTGAATGACTGACTTTTCTTCTTGTTAAAGCTGTGTCACTGCACCTGAGCCTAAAAGGTAGTCCGAATCTATTTTTCTGGTGTGCTGTAGGTTATTGTTATGTACTACATGTGCAAATATGTACCCATAACTTGTTTTTCAAAATATTAATAAAAGTGATGTCTCCAAACAGCCATCTCTTTCCTGACAATTCCCTTTGTGCATATTCTCTTACATATGATAAGTCAACATTGAAACACCTGCGGCTTTTGGTCAGGTGCGGCTAATGCATGTACAAAACAGGATTTTCCCCTGATTTTAGCTTGTGCGGCTAATATTCAGGTGCGCTTTGTAGTCTGGGAAATACGGTAATATCAAAGACAGAGCAGCACACTGACTGCCAGTGTGGACTAGTCCCAGTCTTCACAGGCAACAAGTTTACACAGCTGCATTTACTTTGGTTGTGCTATGATCTGTACAAACAGATGCTTCACTGCACATTCATGGACATTTGAATAAACAGATAAAATATGAGCTATTATTATTCCAGCTTCATGTCAGCTGCAGTATACGTACAGTAACGTGATGTTAGCATACTGTAGTTTAGCTGCTAGGATGGGGAGGAGCGTCACAGCAGGTTACCTGTGCGGTGAGCAGGTCTACAGACGGGATGTAGTACTCTTCTTGGTCCACTGACAATAACGGCTGTTCCCTGGAAGCTGCACACGCTTTCCCATCCTTGGCTACTGGGTTCTTGCCCTGCAGGCAAACATTCACATCAACCTCATTTGTGAATTTGCACATCCAGAAATGTATTTCATTTTTAAACCATCTAAACTTCAATTTGTTTTGTATGAAATTTACAAACCAACCATCCTTGATCTCACCCCAACCCTCTCACACCAATTAGCTAAACTGCAGGAATGTCTTACAGAGTTAAAGTTTGAATAAAGGTTACATCCAATGATTTCAGCCTCCCTGAACTGCATTCGTCCTACCTGCGGTGTGACACAGGGTGAAACCAGGATCCCATCAGCCATCATGGGTGCTGGAGCCAGAGGGTCGACCACGATGCTGCACCACACTCTCGGTCCAAACTGCTCCCCAGCGTGGGCCAGACGCCAGTGAGATGTGTAGGAGCCCTCCACAGTGGGCGCACACAGTGCTACGCTCACTATGCCAACCTGCACGCACACACACACACACACGCTTGTTTCAGTGCTTCACGAGGACACGTGCCACAGCTCTGTGGGATGTCTCACACTCACCTGTCCCGGCTGCAGGAAGGGAACTGCCACTTCTCTCCAGCGGTCTCCAGATCCCACTGCCAGGTTTCCCCACATAAACTTCAGCTGCAGGAACCAAACAAGACATAATATAATGGTTCCTTAGTGGGAGTTTGCACACAGTGGACCAAAGCCTCCCACAGGTGTTGAGGTCAAAGAGCAAAGTGACGTTCTGTGGTCAGTAAATGTCAGCACTTTGCTGCTAAACGTGATGGAATAAGGTTTGACACTATTAACACTGTTAAGGAGGGATTGGTTGGTCACAGTGAAACAGGGTTGCTGTTTGTTTACACGAAACACAAAGCGCGGCTGAACTAAGCCTATTCAAACAAAAAGCACCAGGTCTGAACCTGAAACTCATGAGATGTGATGACGAGCATGAAATTTGTGTTAGTCAGTGATGACATTTCACTACAAAGGTTGGGTAATCACGCCGGTCAGTGACGCTCATCACCTGGGATCATGAGTATAGCTGTTTCTATGGCAACCCAGCCAACAGTTACACTTCCCCCAAAATGTAAAAAGTACATCTAACGGTGGGTCGAATAATATAGTTGCGTCACTGTGGCCAGCACACCGTCAGGTCACGTCTGTGCTGTACACACATGGACGCGTCCATGATATTCACGGCTCTGAGACGGCGAGCAGGTCTCGTTCTGGTGTAGGTGCTCTCAGGAGAATCCAAGCTGTTAATGAGCTGCTGTTTGAGACTTTACCTTAGTCTCAGCACTCCAGCTGAGAGTCCCAGTGTTCCTCATCTTCCAGTACTTGATAAACTTGGTCCCAGGACGCAGACGCGTTCCGTCAGGAAGGTTTTCGTCCAAAAACGCTGCCGTCATGGCAGGAACCACCAGGGGACAGGGGCGCTTTGGTCGCCTGGGCAACAAGAGGAAAATCCCTTTATTCAAATTCTTCATCACGTCTCACTCTAAACTCATTCATATCGTCATTCAGCTCCCATCATCCCAGAGCAGCGGTTACAATGGACCGCCTTATTGACTGCTGCAGTCTGCTTGCCATATTTTCCCACAGTCTATTCACTTCATTGCACTATAACAACCTAGGATCACCATTCATCTTTAAATGTGCTTCAACTTTGGGGGAAGCCGTAGCAGGTGGACAAAAGCTTTCAGGGTCACAGAAATGCATTTCGTCCACACCGACCCCCGACGAGCTGATAGCGCCTCGCTGTGACTCGACTGTGTGAGCTGATGTTTGAATAAAGACAGACTTTGTTTCTGGAGCTACTCTGGAATCACACATGAGGAGATCGACACTGAGATAAATGAAGTGCGTCCTGCAGCCTAACTTGGTTGGGACCTACTCTGGGCTGTTGTGCTGTGTGGCTCGAGGCTGCAGGAGGACGGGGGAGGAGCTTCCGTCTCGATGGGACGAGCTCCACTGTATGCCCCGCCTCTCCATCCTCAGCTGCTTCCGGATTTCCTTCACCTCAGCTTTCAGCAGGCGCTTCTCGGCTTTCAGCCGCTGCTTCTCTGCCTTTCGGAAACTGCGATCCCCCCGCCTGTAGAACCTAAACAACAATGGATCGAGATGAAGTAACATCAGCATTATGGGAATGTCTACAGCCAGGTGTAGCATTTTATACTGGATTCAGACAGCCCTGCATCAGCTCACACTCATACCACATATCTTTAAAACAAACATTCATGTTTTAATTAAATATTTAGTGTGTAAAGCTGATAATATGAAGCTAGTTTGTGCTTTTTGGTAAATATGAACACGTGTTAAAGTCCGGTAGCTGTGTCACACCTGCTGTGGTCTGGGGCCGGTGATCCGTGCTCCGGGATGGACAGGGGAGTCCTGGCTCTCACCAGATTGTGACTGGGATCGTGGGAGAAGCTGCAGGGCTCGCACAGAGTACAAGAGGTGCACACGCTGTGGAGTGAAACAGCCCAGAGGGATGAGAGGAAACGTGAGACTGCATCTAAAAACTGACACCGTGATGAAGAGCACGCACTCAGCTTCACAATCTGCAGAGATAACAGCTCCTGGCATGCAAGGAGAACGTAAGGAACTGCACAATGTGAGTTTGTGTGCAGAGCTGAAGTTAGAGCACCAACATCCTCCCTTTACAGCAGCGAGGCCACAGGGTAAATGTTCACTTGGTAATAGGGCTGGGCTAGATCATACCGTTCACGGTAATACCGGTGTAACTTTGGGCAACGACAAGAAAATGAAATATGGCGATAGAATATGTGCTTTTGTTTTCAAACGCACATGGCGGAAAAAGCATGGCGGCGACGCAGAACGAGAAGAGGCGAGAGCGGATCGTTGAATGAAACCATGAACCTGAACTGGTTTGTAAAAATGCTGCAGCTTCACTGGTGTGGAACTGGTTTAGCTTTCG